ACCAACTAACTGAAGGGGGTAATCCACAACCTCTGACAAAAGAGATATATCTCTCAAAAAGAGCTATAAAAAATGTTTTGAAGAAAAGACTCTTCAGATACTTGAAGTCACCTTATGGATCTCATCTCTTTCTGTGAGGTGACAGCAGGTGGCAATGGGATAATGAGTCTTTGAGACACTTCAAAAGAAATCTGTATATAGATTTCTTTTATAATACTCATCCCTTAATAGTGGGGACTACTATTTCAGGCAATGTCAGTTCTGGCTGTCCATTAGTAAGAGGACAACAGCTGTCTTCTAGAGCATGATCAAAGAGTAATGAGAGAGCAGAAGTCTGCTAAGATGAAGTAATAGCAAATGAATAATATGAGAGATGACTGCTGGTTGGTGCGGTAGTCAGGAGGGAGGGGTGGGTTTTATTATGCAGATGGTCAGGGAAAATCTCTCTGGGGAAGAAATCCAGATAAGACATAGAGAAGCAAGTCAGGTCATGCAGGGTTTTATACATGATGCTTGGGAATTGATTCTTTGTCTCATAGGCAGTGGGGCTGTTGAAATTATTAGCATAAAAATGACATCCTCAGCTTTGCTTTTTATTTTTATTTTTTATTTTTTTAATTTATTTATTTCTTTTTAAAAATTTTTCACATACATTTGTCTCCATTTACCTGTCACCACTTTCCCCTGCCCCACCCATCCCCTCTCCCCCCTCAATCCTTCACCACCTTGGCTTCCACTATGTGTGCTTCACACCTGTTCCTTGATCTGACCCTTCCACTTCTCCTCTTCACTACCCTCCTCCCTCCCGCCTTCCTTCCTGTCTATGTCGGTTTCTTCTTTCTTTCAATGTTGCTAGTCATATTTTCCTTGCCTGCTTGCTTTGCTGATTAGGGTCCACTTATAGGTGAGATCATATGGTATTTGTCTTTCTCCCTCTGGCTTATTTCACCTAGCATAATGTTCTCCAGTTCCATCCATGCTGTCACGAAGGGTAGTAGCTCTTTCTTTCTTTCTGATGCATAGTATTCCCTTGTGTAAATGTACCATAGTTTTTTGACCCACTAATTTACTGATGCGCACTTAGGTTGCATCCAGCACTTGGCTATTGTAAATTGTTCAGCTTTGTTTTTCAGAAAGATGCCTCTGGTGACTGGAGGTGGGAAGATGGTCAGGAATTTTGTGGGTAAAGGAAAGGAAGGTGAGGAAGGCAGATCACATCTTGCAAGGCAGGTGCTTTCTTCCTGCCCCTTTCCTTGACCATAGTCCTTATAAGAAAGAACCACTAGCAGGGATAAATAATTCAGTGACTCTGGTCCCTGTCCCTGGCACTCTTCAAAGACCTCCACCATTTTAGGAAGCTGCTTCTGCACTGAGTACTTCCTACTTTCAGCAGGTCAGCAGCCAGATGGGAACATCCTGTACTTCTGGCTCCCACCTGAGCAAACTGGTCTGGATAGAACCTGCCCATGCTGCAAGGCTCTGTCTCTGCCTCTCTCCTGTCCAAAATAATATTTCTGTGATTTTTAGGGTTGTATCTCTTTCTGCCTCCTCAGAGAACTCAGTCCATGAACTCTCTCACTCTCACTTGTAGTTGACCTGCCTACTCATTCCTCTCACAGTGGAATCATGTCAAAACTCTCCCTTTGTCAACAAAGGAGAAAACACCACCCTGACTTCCATGAACAATGCAGCTTGTGGAAGGTGCAGCTTGTCCCCACTTCCCACATTCCTTCCCCTACTCTCTTGTCACAACACAGCTCTCTATCATCTCACCCCCACTCTGTGCACGCTCATCTGACCCATTGGCAGCCAAACTTAATGGACACTTTTAGTCTTTTATGTGTCCAGTTTCTTCATAGCTTCTAACTTCTACATCTAGTCTTTCCTGTACACTTTTTCTATGCTTAGTTCTCTCTGCATTCTGTTTTATTTCTTCCTTGTGGGTATATCCTTTTAAATTTTTTTCTTGGCCCTGACCCACCCTTCTAAGCTGGTGGTCTTCAGGGAAGTCTATCTCCTTTTTCCAGGCAGTTTACAGACTTCTTTGGCTTGAACCCCCTTGTCCTCCATGCTGCTGATCCCCAGGTTCCTCCCTGAGTCCCACCTGGCTGCCCTTGAACTTTCCAATTGGATTCCCAAATATACCTCAAGCTCAGTGTTTCTGCTAGAGAAACATTAATTATTGTTAACAAATTTCTAAATATTAAAGTTATTCCCTTCTTCTGCATCTGAAGATGTCAGAGACATGATGTGTGTATGTTGGAGACTGGTTGAAAATGAAGAATTTTATAACATGATGAAAGCCAAGTGTTTCTTTTGAGAAAAGGTGGAGACACCTGGAAAGAAAGGTCTGGGGAAAGTTGTAGGTAGAGGGAGTGGTTGAAGGAATGACCAGTGGGCACAGAGAGAAGTGAGGAGAGGAATTTGCATAGCTGGTTAGATGTCAATAGTGAGAGATATTGATTTTTTGTCATCTTCATATAAATCAGCCCTGGCTGGTATGGCTCAGCAGATTGAGTTCCAGCCTGTGAACCAAACAATCACCAGTTTGATTCCCAGTCAAAGCACATGCCTGGGTTGTGGGCCAGGTCCCCAGTTAGGGGCATGAAAGAGGCAACCAATCAATGTATCTCTTGCACATTGATGTTTCTCTCCCTGTCTTTCTCCCTCTCTTCCCCTCTCTCTAAAAATAAATAAATGAAATGAAAAAATCATTAAAAAAATAAAAAATGTTTGGGGATAATATTTTTAAAAGGAACTTTCAGGGTGGCCATATGATATTTAGTATAACTTATTTTCTTCCTTCCTTTCTTTCTTTTCTTCCCTCTTTATTTTTTTCTTTTCTGTTATCACTGCATTTGTTTCTATATTTCATTTTCCTGGAATTGTTTATTTGTATGTTCATGTTGACAAAGACTCTGCCTTTGACCAAATTTTAGTCAGGATCCTCTGAGGACTTCAACTGAGCCTGGACCTTGGTCCTAGTTCTGTCTAAGGCTGGGCATAAACCAGTTTTAGTAGACTTATGTTGTCATCCTCCCATTTTTTTATATTTGATCCACCACCTTGATAATTTTTCTCCCACCCTTGTTTCTAACACCTTGAAGTGCCTGCAGAAAGAATCCTGTTGGGTCAGTTTAATAATAATTCCCCAGCTCTTGATGTCTCCTCTTAGTAATTTTCCATCTCCTATTTTCGTGCCTTGCTCTTTGGCTATAAATCCTCATCTCTCCTTGTTGTATTCTGAGTTGAGCTTGATCTCTCTCCCCTAGTGCAACAATCTTGAACAAAGTATTCCTTGCTGTTTTACTCAGTGTCAAATAATCTTTTTCTTCAACATTGTTCTTCACACTGTGTCAGGCCCTTGAATACAGAGCTGTACAATTTTTAAATTTGTCCCCTGCTGCAAATTGCCTAAGATAGTAGAGTGTTTTAGAAGAAAACTCTAGCTAAGATTCAGGGTTTAAATTTTCTTATTTCCATAACCCCAGGAATAATATACAGGCTCTTTTTATGTTAGTAATAATAGTCAGAAATCTCAGAGGTACAGGAAAAATGGTTTTATAGAAAAATTACTTTTATTTTTTAAAGTAAAATTAAATAATAATCAAATATTAACTACTGCTATAATCTGAATTTTGTATTCTTTCCAACTTCAAATTTATATGTTGAAGACCTAATCCTCAAATATGATACCCTAGTACTGGTATTAGGGAGTTGTTTAGATATTAACAGTGGAGCCTTCATGAATGGGGTTAGTGTTTTTATAACAGAGACTCCAGAGAGATCTCTAATGTCTTTCACCAAGTGAAGTCACCATAAGAAGGCACTAGCTGTTAGCCAGGTAGGGGGTCTTTATCAGAACCAATCATGCTTATGTCTTGATTTTGGACTTACAGCTTCAATGGACATGAATTTCCATTGTTCATAAACAATCTGGTCTTTGGTAGTTTATTATGGCAACCTCGATGGACTAAGATACTCTCCCAGTATCCTCATCACTCATCTCTTGAAACAGGTTGAAAATTCCAATGATCATCCTATCAACAAGGGGGGTAAAACCACCAGGAGAACAGCCCTGGCTCTTACTTTTTCTCTCTCTGTCTTTTTAAAAAAAAGATTTTATTTATTTATTTTTAAAGAGAGGGGAAGGGAAGGTGAAAGAGAGGGAGAGCAACTTTGATGTGCAAGAGATACATTGATTGGTTGTCTCTTGTACATGCCCTGAACAGGGACTGGACCCACGATCCAGGCTTGTGTCCTGACCGGGAATCAAATAGGAGACCTTCTGTTTTATGGGATGATGCTCAACCAACTGAATCAAATAGGTCATGGCTTACTCTCTCTCTTAAGGTGACCTGTGCTCTTTTTATATTTCAGAGAATTGGTAGTAATGCCATTCAGGAACAACTTTTTCTTTCTTATTTCAGGCACAGTGAGTCAAACATTCTCTATTATCTAACAGTTTTTATGAACTATTTATAGGCAAACTGTCTCAAACTTTATACTGAGCTATATCACTGGTTTCCTTAAGTGTGAAGAATGTAACATTTTTGTTCAACCTGAGTTTTTTTCCAGGAAAACTTTCACTTAATTCTTTCCAAATTACTCTTGGAAATATATGATGTAAAAATATATTTAAAAAAAGAATTTTGTGAGTAAATGAAGTAAAAAAAAACACTGCATGGTGCAAAGCTCCAAGTGATACTATAAGCTTGAAATGTTCTCCACCTTTCAGATGTGTAAGAAATGATACATGCAAGGACAGCTACATACCATTGAAAATACCATATACATGTGGACATATGACAGCTCCCTTGGAAGGGACTGCCCTTTCAAAGCTTCCTGTGTGACTTGCATTTTGATCACAAGTTCTGATTTCTCCATTTTCTATTTACAGAAATGAAGAAAGTTCTCAAGGCAGAGCTCTGAGTCACAATGCACTCCACTTTGGCCACAGAATACATTTTCTGAAGGGATGACAGAACCCAGGGAGAATAATGTTTTACTTGGGATGTATATTTCTTTGTCTTGTCACAGGAGAGAGAATTAAAGGATTTAATATTTCAGGTAGGGGATTTCACTTTTCACATTAACACTGTGAATCTTGTAGTCAAAGTTTAAAGTGACAAATAATTTGATATATCAGTAGCATGACATTAATACAGAACACTTTCATCTTGCTGTTAAGATGGGTATGAGAGAGAAATTATTGAAGTGAACAGCTTTCAGCTGATACCAAACGTCGATGGGGAACCCAGTTACCATTTGGTGGGTGTTCAGTGGGAGCAGCAGAAGAGAAATGAAGGGTGGATTGGCCACCTTTACTGGGAAGTCACTATTGCCATTGGTGACACTGAAGTCTCCTGGGAGGGGTTAGAATGAGAACTTCCTTTTCCCTGCAAAATGGGAACACTGGAGGGGAAAGACACACAGCTACTCTTTGTAAAGATAAGAAGAGTTTCATCTTCTAATGTATTTCTGTGTTGCTCTTGTGTGTGTGTGTGTGTGTGTGTGTGTGTGTGTGTGTGTGTGTGATTTTCAGGTTGCTCCACCAAAAAATTTCTTTGGACATATTCTACAAAGAGTGAGGAGGAGTTTGTCTTATTTTGTAACTTACCAGGCCCACAGAAATCCCATTTCTACCACAGAAGTTCACTCTCAGCAACTCAAGGCCCTGGACACCTGCCCTGCAGTGATAGTAAGGACTTATCTGAGGTCCAGTGGTACCTACAACCGCAAAATGGAGACACGCTAAGGGAAATTACTAAAAACTATTCTCACATCATCCTGGACAAGATTACCCTACGTTTTCTGACCATGGAGATGAACAATGTTGGGTCATATATTTGTAGACCCAGGATTAGGTATGTCCTAAATGCATTCTTATCGAAAACACTGCTAAATTCTATATTATCTGGATATAATATTTATGTTCACAAGACCTTGTTAACTTTCATAGGAGCCCCCAGGATGAGGCCTGCTGTGTTAAGATGGTCTTAGAAGCTAAGCCCAAGACAAACATATCCTGTGTGAGTTCTGTACCACATAAGCAATATCTTCTTCTTGGTAGCACTGACTCCATATATTGCCCCAGCCTTGGCTGCCAAAGGGATGCACAGAGTCCAGAGGTGACCTGGTACCAGGTAAGAATGACTTTTCTAAAACTGATGCAAGTGAACGGTTTTTAATGGTAACATCTCTATCAGTATATAGAAATGTGGGTTTGAGGATCTGAGGGCTAGAAATTTCCAAAGTTTGGCCTTGTGCTTACAAGGAAGAGCTGACTTTTTATAAAGCTCTTTCCCCTAGACAGCCACAGAACCTGATATTTCAGTTATTAGAACCATCCTTTTAATAGTGCCAGGAAAATTTCTAAAAGTCTAGTATATACATGTGAAGTTAAGATATCAATTTACAACATCCACTAATGCAGAAGGCCAGATTAGTTCATTATACTGTCTTTAGAAAGCAATGGACATTGCTAAGGGGAAGAGAGCACCCTCCAAGTGAGACTTGAAGGGTTTCTGAAAGAAAGAAGAGAGTAGAATACTTTCCTAGGTGTCCACAACTGGGAGACATTTAAGGCAAATGCTAGCTGGTCCTGAGTAACAGGTGAGACAGTGAGGAGGGAGTGCCATACTAAGAGAAAGATAGAACAGGGGCCAGGAAAAGGCAAGGTTCATAATAATTTAGAGTTATAAACTACATTTGATTAAAAAGAGAAAACACTTCACATTTTCATTGTGTTTTATAGTTATACGGAGTGCTAACATATATACAAATACTTTATACGTATCTCCTCTAACATAGTTCTATGTATTTGACCCCTGGATGATGGAATCAGGGAATAATATTTAAATGACTTCCTACACTTGCAACATTTTTTAAAATTGCTTCCTACACTTGCAACAATTTTTATACTTGCAACAAGTCCAGTGCTTTGCTTTAAAAATCATGTAAAACTTTAAATTTGACTTCAAAATATATGTTTCCTAATATAAAAAATATCATTTTAAATTGCCACCAATTGAAGTCAAGAAGGGAGCTCCTGTTTATCTGGTGGTTTTATGCACTCCAAGACTTTACAATTAGAGACTGATGGGGGTACAATCACTATGGTGTGAGAAGATATTTTCTCACTTGATTCTCTTGAAACTTGGTGACAATAGGTGGACAGGAGTTATGTGTATTGTATGAATAAGTATTAAAGGATGATGAGTGATAGGCTTAAGGTCTCACATTTATATTTTAAAGAGACACTGAAAATGTGCTGGCTTCAATGAAATCCTAATTTAAGAAACATTAATTTCACAACCTCTAAAATAAAGCAAATAAAAGAGTCAATGGTTCTCCTCATTATTTTCAGTTCTCTCTTAAGAATAAAATTTCCCTCAAAAGTATTTGTAATCTGGATGACAGATACCTTTCTATGTCAAGGCAGGCTGCTCCTAGCCCAGGAAACCAGGTTTGCCCCACTTATTTCAGATGAAAATGCATATCTTTGAAATGAAAGCTTACTTTTACTTTTAGGTAAGAACAAGTGACAGAGTAGTTGCCAGCTTTCTGCATCTATTGTTCTTGTAAGATAAACCCTAAGGCTGTATGACATTTACAAAAGGAAACTTTATTTCACTTCTTTGGGGCATTGACTGAAAATGTCATGGTGTGTTTACTGGTGAACAGGCATCTGTTCTAAAAGTAGGCCAACATTGGCTGTTGTTAAAATTGTACCTTCTGATGCAGATTTGGAGATGTCATGGTTTAGGTTATGTTTTATCCATTGCAGAAGTGTGTGTTCACATGCAGACACACTTATGTATACACACAGATACACGCACAACTGGAAACTCTCAGACCTCACGGAAGCAACACTGAGAGTGATGGCATTAGGCAGAACATTGTACCCAATTTTTTTTTCTTCATGTAAAACCCAGAAACTCATGTGGCGGGTGACTAACACCTAAGACATCTCAGAGCAGATGATGCTAACACTGGCAGAGAGGATGAAAACATGGTATTGTTCAATTCAGATGAAACTAACTCACATGGGATATACCTGCCAGGCATACAGAATATCCAGCTGAAATAAATCCATAGGCTAGAGTCTCTGAAAGTTTCCAAAGTATTTTTATTAGACATGTCAAAAAATTTAGGCTTGGAGATTCTTGATAGAAATATTTAATGACTGAGAATTTGGACTTGAAGTAAATCAATTATTATATTCTAATGATGTTTTCTCTATATTTTATTTCTAAAAAACAATGAAAAAATAACTTTGGCATAAAGAGGTTTCAATGAGAGGGTATTTTATATTCATTAGCTAAAAAAAAATTCGACATGGGCAAAATTATAACAAAGTTCAGTGAGAAAGACTCTTCATGAACTCTTGTTTGTGCTGTGAATAACTTTTCCACTTGTGGTTTAAGACAGTCTCACTCACATGCCTTGTTTGCTTGCCACACTGCTGAAGTGGCTGCCAGGCCATCTCTGAGGCCTATGTTCCATAGAATTTTCACACATAGAACTGCCACTTCTCTTTCTTATTTCCTTTTGGCCTAGTTCTCACAGTGATTGGCACTGTATAGTATTCAGTGGGCCTAGTGACTTGGAGAATTATTGAGAATGAGGAGACTGGCTAGACCAAAGATTAATGTGATTCCAAATAGGAAAGAAGTAAACATCATTTAGATTTGATTTCTGAAAACTGTTTCCAAGGTTGAGACATTGGCCCATTTGATTGTTCTCAAGGTTAAATTTCAGACCTCTCATAATCTTGAGCAACTTCCTAACGTTGATTCAAGGCTATAATCCACATGTTGTCTAACCCATATTGAAAACAGAGAAACTATTGTCTTCTTTTTTCTGAACATTATATCAGTGCATTTAGTCGATGCTTGTATTAATTTTGGGTCAGCTTATTTTATAGTCAATTCATTTTAAGTTGGCAGGTAGGTCCTTTTCAAAGGAACTGCAATCGGACCTTTTCAATTTTTGTGCTAATAGAGTAGAATTTATAACCCATGTTTATGATTTTATATTTATTCCTATTAAACTATAATTTGTTGGTTTTAGCCTATCATTTTACATGTGAAGAGGTTAGAATTTTGATTTTGAAATGTAACATTAACCATCACTTCTGTATTGGTAAGACTTGTATATGAGATACATGCATGATAGGTCTTCACTCAAGCACTTAGTAAAAATACTGAACAATTGTTGACCTTAGATTTATCTGCCTAGTTACATATGGTCCATCAATCCACAACTTGGTGGGGGGAGGGGCACCATATTGCTGCTCCTTTACCAAAAAAGGCACTCAGAGATTGAATCATTCAGTCCACATGTATTCATTTTGTTTAAAAAGGTCATGAAAGTATTTTCTGAATGAATCAGTATAGTTAAGATACAGTGTGTCTACTGTATTCCTCTAAGGCTTTGGTCTAATAATTTTATCATGGAAGGAATTGAGATGACTGGCATAAACGTTGTTAGTAAAAGCAAGTGGCTGATATTAACCACCTTTTCTTTAAGTGTTCATAAATCATCTGTTTTAATAATTCATTCAAGACTTTGACTAGGGATTGACATTTAGCTCATCAGCCTCTAACTTTCATAATGTACCTTTTTCTCATTAAAAGTTAAGTATTAGTACAAAATTTATGTATAAGTAAAATGTTGTCAGTTGATGATTGTAGCAAGAGACTGTAAAGTTGCACTTGACAGGAATGTGCAGTGTGATCAATGGAAAGAGACATATGCTGGACACATTCCATGAGTGGTATGCATCTGGGGGCGGAGAGTTCTTGCCTGATGTAGTCAGAGATAGAGCTAGGAATAAAGGCTATATGTTGACTGAGTGGTAATTTGGTCCCTGTTGGTGAGTTTGAACTTACAAGTATGAATTCTGATCCAGGGGCCTATCAGGGGGATGCTAGTCATATTTTCAAGAAATAAAATAAAAGATGAAATGCTTTAATAGAGGGTGTGAAAGAGATGAGAGTCACATTTTGGGACTTTATGGCTCAAAAATTTGCAGCATTTGTCAAGTTGGAGAAAATAGCCACTAATTCAATTAGGGGTGAGAAGAGTCGACACATACAGATCTGGACACAATGAGTCATTAAAACAGACATGAAAACATCATGTCCATCAGGGAAGATAGGACTCAAGATCTAGATTCTGGGAGTCCCCCTAAGCTAGGTAGTAAAAGCCCACTTCCAGGGAGCACCATTCACAGAGAATAACACAATGTTCATTGTGCTCCCTGGAGTGACAGTATTGTCCAGTAGAGCAACAGATTTGTGATATTAGAGTAAAATACTATAATAACTATTTCTAGTAGAATGAACTTTCTTTGTTTCGCTCTTCTTGTTTCACACATACCTTTAGAAGTCCTTTTAGTGTCCTCAGCTTTTTTTTTCATGCCTCAGTTCTCTCTAGAACTTACTGACACTATTCATACAGGTTTACACTGAGGTGGTCCTCCTTATTTGTTTATGGTTTTTTTCCTCTTCTTCTCCTCCAACTCCTCCTTCTGTTTTACATCTGAACATAACAAAGAATTCCCTGTGCAGCCCTGTTAGGTCCTCTGTTTTCTACTAGAATCATTTGTGCTTGTGCTATTAGAATGCATTTTCCATCATTCTTAATATGAATTGCTTCTTATCTCTCTTCTTTGGTGATTCCTTTTAATTCTATCTCATAAAAATCTTAATGGCATGTATTGAGCCATGCTTACACTTTTTATGAAAAAAGTCAGGTCCACTTTGTATCATCCATCTTCCCTGTGGTTCAGCTGAGATCCTAGTTATAACTAAGCATCTTCTCCCTATTACTCTCTCATGTGATTTACGACACATCTTCACTCCAGTTCTGTTCTTTGTATGTAATTACTGTGTACTGTAGAATTTGATCTCTGAATTTTACCCCATGCTCTAAACCTTCCTTTTAAAGTGTTCTTGATCCTTGAGATGAGCTGATAGATTGTTTAACCTTATCTGTCTCACCACTTGGTCTTGTTTACTTCCCATCTGCAGGTGCTCCTCCAACCAGTTCTGCTCACCACCCTCCCCCCGACCCCTTTAGGCTACTGCCTGCCAATTTACTGGAAGTTCCTTCTTGAGCCACAAGAACCACACCAGAGACTTAGAGTGGGGGAATCCCTGACTCTACAAGTCAGCAGGCAAAGTAGAAGGGAAATTCCTCAGTCAGAATCTGAAACTCAAAACCCGAATAATTTAGATAAATTTTCAGTCCTCTCACTGACTAGTTTTGTGATATGGAGCAAAACATAAACTGCAGAAGCTCAGGTTTCTCATCTATAAAATGGAAAACAAAATTATGCAAACTGAGTTCAAGTCTTTGAACAATCATATGAAATAACATGAGACAGAACTTTGTAATCTATATGGATAATAGCCTTTTATTATTTTGTTATTTCTTTTTTACTGTTTTTTTTTTTCTTTTTACTGCAGTGGTGAGAGATATGTTCCTAGTGCTCTTAGTTGGAAACTGGAAGGCCATGTGCCATGTGGAGGCAAGGTGCTAAAAGGTTACTGACACAAATATACTCAATCACTCAACAAATACTTATGAAGTTCCTACTACGTCCCAGCCTCTAATGATACAAAAGTGATTATGATAGTCTTTGATTAAATTTATAACTTCCACACTTAGTTGCCATTAAAAAAAGTCAAATAATGTGATTTTTATGCTTCAAAACTTTTCTTTCAATTATACATGCATTTACTCACTCACTCTTCATTTACAAAGACCATTCCATGGCTAGCCTGCCTGTCATAGAATGGGGTCCAGAGATCAAACACAACCACATGCATCAGCCCTTTCAAATTGGCCTTATTTCTTGTATACATGCTTTGCTTCAAATGTTCTTAAAATGGCACTTATTTCAAATGGACTGATTCCTACACATTCTTCAAAGCTCTAATTTAACTGGAGGGTGCATTTCTGTTTCATGTAAGCTGAGTCAAAGCCACTGGCATGCATCAACCTCTGACTTACTACTCTGGGCCTGCATTCTTAGACAAAGCGCTCACTGGGAGAAAGGATTAATATTTATTCCACTCAATGTGTCCAGAACCAGGTATATGTCTTGGCACAAAGACTGCTTTCAACTACTACAGAGAAGATATCTCAATATTAAATACGTCATTACTATACAAAAGGTACACACAATGATGGAGGTGTGTGCTTACTGCTCTGAAAGCATGTCGTGATGCCTGACAACTTACCTCCATGAGAGCTACCTCTTGAGTGGGAGTTGAAGATTGAGCAGCAGCTTACTCACTGGGAAAAATAGTGGGAGACATGTGCAAATGCATGGATTGAGAAAAAACATGGTCATTTAGGGAATGGCTAGTGGTAGAGGGAGAATAGAAGGAAACGAGTCAAGGAAGGAATGGCAAGATCAGATTGTAAAGAACTCTAGACTTTTTCCCTCAGGGAAAAAAGCTGTCACTGACAGATTCTAAGTAAGAGAAGGAAATTTTCATAATCTATTTTAGTTCTCCCAAGACTTTGGGTCCACTATAAGTTAAATAATTGTTTTTCAATGATAAGCCATTCTTTGTCATACTTATATACACCTGATTATTCACTTAACATTTTAAATTTAAATTTCATTGTTTTATTAAAGTTAAATTAAAGAGGAAGCTTTATATTAGCTGCATATAAGAAATCTGCATCAATTTTCAGACATATAAACATATGTTTTTTAAAAATTAATTTATGTATTAGCTACTTAGAACATGATGAGCTTTCTAGAATACTCTCAGGGCCTGAGTCATGCTTTGGAAAATAATAAATTAATAAGATTGTGGTGAGCTGATTTATATTTGCACCTTGATCTCCACACACAATGTAGTATTTGAAAATGTTTCTTATTTTAAGAAAGAATTTTATAAATACAATTTTTGAACAGAGTCTTTTTTCTAGTTTGGGGGTATGATTGTTATGTCCTTATCTCAGACTGATTCCCCTTTCCCTCCTTCAAATTCGTGAAGTTTTTCAAAAGGTGCAATTAATAGTAATAATAATTGTCTGGTTAAAGAAAGTTATTTGATTTTCTTGTCTCTTGGATTAGAATGGAAGACTACTCTCTGAAAAAAGGAGCAACCCAATGCAACTGGATGAAATTTATGACTTTCACCAGGGCATGTACACATGTGATTATAGTCAGTCGGATAATGGAAGTTCATGGACAGTCAGAGCTGTTGTTCAAGTGAAAACCATTGGTAAGTAAGATTTTGGTTTAAAGATTTGAGATTTGAACCCCAGTTACCCAATTAAATTTATCCTCCTGTGGCTTAGTAATTTTTTTCCTTTTTTGAAAAGAGAGAACATAGATCTACAGCGTAGTCATGTAAAGCCTTAAATATTGGCAAACATCAGTTTCCCCATCAACCTAGATTCCACTCTCCAAGGAAGACCTAGTTCTGGATCATATTCAAATTGTCACAAGTTGGGTTTCCCATGCATTGATCCTTGGTTTGTTTTCATAATAAATTTAAAAAGGAATATTAATAACACACAGAGAAATAAGTGACACCCATGTACCTATCACCAGCTTTAATGCTGTTAACATTTTTTTCACATGCTTAAAAATCTTGCATTTCTTTTTTTAAGGAAACTAAACATTGCATATACATACAGCTTGAGACCTATGCTGACATCTCTTCCCTCCCTCCCGTCCCTGATGTAGTCCAGTTTTATAGTTTATATTCTTTCCATTTAGGCCTTTTTAAAATATATATCTATTAATAAAGTGGAATATTATTTTTTATTAAATGTGATTTGTGTTATAAACCATCGTATTATTCTAAAATATTACTTTGCCATTTACATGTTTATCAGCAATGAATAGATTTCTATTATTCCTAAATAATACTTGGTGTCTTCAAACTTTTTTTTTAAAATATGTGTCAAGTAGGGTCTCTTTTCCTTAGATTAATTTACATTCCATGAATACTAATGAAATTGAGTATGTTGTCATATGTTTATTGGCCCATTGGCTTTATTCTTCTGAGACTTCTCTTGGGTCATTCTTACTAAATTTACAAGTGTCAGCATGAATAAACTGTCATGTTATTATTTTAAGCATGGCCTATGTCAAAGCATAATCAAGTAAGCCATTCATGTTTTGTATTAAAGAGCTACAGAATGGCTGACTTATCTCTTAGAAATATATTAATCAATTTTACCTCCTCTTTTATTGTGTGATACAGTCCACACAGGCTATGCTGAAGCCAAGTCAGGCGCTCCTGCCTTTCCTGGCCCTCACACTCTTCACTACTTCAGACCTCAGCGATTTGGTTTTATTATATTGTTCCTTGGATAAAAAGAAAGAATGCAAATACCCAACTTGCACCACTTACCCCCTCCTAGTGATGTGTGATTGTTCTTTTTGTCAGGCATGATAAATTGGCCCATCAAATTTCCAGTGGCAGAATCTGCTTTTCTGTTTCCTGAAGGGCTCCTTGTAACATCTGCTTCAACTCTTTCAATTAAGCCTTGTCTTCCTCATTTACTTACTCATTCTTTTATTTATTCATTCTCACACAAATATTTGTTGAAAATCTTATATGTATCAGGCACTGAGCTTGGTGCTAAGGGTACATGAGTGAGAATGAGCACCTGGATACTCCCTCAGATCCCCAGAACTTAGTATTCTGTGGGATGCACAGAGGAGGAACAAGTCATCACAATATGGTGTGATGAGTGGAGAAAAAGTGGGGCATAGGGGAAGCCTACCAAATCAAAACCCAAGTATACCAAGTCCAAGTGAGAATTGAGGGGTGAGAACAAATTAACCCCATCATGGTGGGAGACATGCTGTTCCAGGCAGGGGAGCAGCATAGTTAATGTCCAGGAGAAGAGAGAGAGTGTGGTGCAGTCCAGAAAGAACATGGTCAGCTGAGGGTGAGTATCTGGAAATAGGAATGGCATTACACTGTCCCAGTAAGTTTAGACTTTATCCAAGGAACAATAGGAAGTCACTGAGGTTTCTAAGCAGAAGAATGTTATGAATAGATTTGTTTTTGAGGTAGATCATTGTCTACTGTATAGAAAATGAGTTTTTGGAGCAAGAATGAGACAAGGAGAGAATTAGGAGGCTGCTGTGGTCAAATAGGCAGTTACAGATGGTGGCCTAAACTGGAAATGGCAATGGAGATGAAGAGAAGTGGATGAAATCAAGAAATATTTAGAAGGTACTTATGAAAGGACTTAGGAATTGGAAGTGAAGATGAAGGGAAATGATGGGTCTAGAATGAAAGCTAGGTTTTAAGTTGGGCAACTAGGTAGACTTTCTGTAGTTTACTCATAGAGGATAGGATAGCATAGCACAGCACAGCACAGCATACATAAGGTCCAATATAAGGCATAGGTGTGAGAGAAGCAGGTTTGATTCATGTTCTTAAATGATGTCTCTGGTTGCTCTTTGAATAGACTTAGCAGAGGTGATAAGAAATGGCTTTCTGGTACATAAATAGAACATGATGATGAATTTTATCTGGAAGATAAAAGGAAGGGAGATCAACAATATTTTAGTTTTCTGGCCTGAAAAAGTTGGTAAATGGTGACACAATTTAATGAGACAGAAGAAGTTGAAAAAGAAGTTCTGAGGAAGAAGCTGAGTACAAGGTGGGGAAAAAAGTAGGTTTACAGTTTTTTTGTATGGAAAAAAGAATAATAATAAGTAATAATACAAGAATAAATTCTGTGTCTTTCATACTCACAACTATAAACCTACTTTTGCCCCATCCTGTATTATACCTGAAAGGACTTTCATTTATCCAAATCATGATGACACATAGGTATTTGGATAACTGGTCTGGAGATGCTTGGCTGGAGAGGTGAATGTGAGAGTGGCCAACATACACATAATATGCAAAGCAAAAGGGCCTGACTGAGAATGCCTAGGGAGTGAGTACAGAAAGAAAATAGTCCAGAGCTGAGGCCTAGAGCATTCCAACACTTGGAGAGGTAGGGAAGAGAAGAATCCCCAAAGGAGATAGAATAGGGGTATGAAAAGAAAGGAAAACTGTCCTAGACACAGTGACTAAAGTGTCTGAAGAAGAACAGTGATGTACTGCCTCGAATGGTAAGACCTGAGAACTTATCATTGGATCTGGAAAGGCAGAAGTCATTATTTACCTCAGAAAGTGGGTGTCAGTAGAAGGGTAGGGAGGAGAGCAGTACAGGAAATGAAATTGATGATGTAGGAAAGAGATCATTTCAAGAACCAAGGCCTTCTGTATGGAAGAGGCCTAGAGGATGAGCCATATTACCCAGGGAGAGTAGAACAAAAGAGCACTAGGAGAGACTGGGAAGGGAACTGATATCCATAAGAGGAACAGAGGAGAGGAACCCACAGCATATAGAGAAGTGAGCATAGAGCTGAGAGGTGAGCAGGAGAGTCCAGAAACAATGAACTGAGTTAAGAGAGGGTTCCAAAGAGGAGGTGGCCAATGCTGTTTAGAAGAAAGCAGATGAAAAATTCAGTTGTACCCAGTGGATTTAGGTGCAAGGAGTTTTCTGGTGACTTTAGCCAAAGCAGTTTCAGTAGAGTGATGGGATCAGAAATCAGATTCAATGGGAGGTGAGGAAATGGAGAAAACAAGCAAATAGCACTCTTTCAAGAATTTGGCTGAAACTGAGGAGAATGAGTAAGGTAAAGATGTGAGGTGGAGGATTTTATTCTTTTTTTAAGACATAGAGACGGAGCATGAGTAAATGTTAATAGGAACAAGAGAGACAATGTTAAAGACACAGGACAGAAATGTTGTAATTTCTGTCATAATTTCTGTAAAGGAGGTCCCTAAGATATATGAGAGGGCATCCAGAGTAAAGTTGGTTAATTTTCCTTTATCAAGAGATGGAACATGTTCTAGAGGAAGTTTGACAGTGGAGGCACATTTGAAAGTTTGTGGCAGCAAGTTGAGAAATAAATGATTAATAAAGGTCTGGGCTCACTTTTATTTTAAGACAAACCATGAATTTAAGAGTGAAGGTGGTGGACTCCAATGTGGCTGACTTTCACATTTTCTCATGTGGGTTCTCCATGCTGAATTACTCAGCCAGATGGCACCAGCAAGCAATTTTGTAGGAGAAGATGAGGATGGAGGATTAATTCTGCAATGGGTGAGCAGGGGTAGTATGAAAGAAATTAACGTTTATCAAAAACTAATATTTGCCAGCACCTGCACAGTCATTTTTAGAAGCTTGCTTTTCACATTAAAACCTGAGTATCTAGCCTTATGAAATATGAATAAAATTTCAAGAGGCAGCCCCAAGACATGGAGATCTAAGTGTGCCCATGCATGCACATCTTCAGCAAGCAGGCTTTCAGATCTCCCAGTGCAAATAATGATTTTCTTTTTCCTCTTTTAGTGAAGGATACGACTCTCAAACCAGATATTCTAGAACCTGTCAAGGACATCCTGGAAATAGAACTTGGTAAGGTGGGCTGAATTATCAAGTTTGGAAACAAGTCTAAGTGTGACATATGAAAAAGAGTTAAATTCAAGTCAAAAAGAATTGGGCATGAATCTTGACTCAGCCACTGATTAGTGTTTTGACCTTATAAGCCACTTAATCTTTCTAAGCCTCAGTTTTTAAATCTGTAAATACGCAAAATAAAACAAACATCACGAGGTTACATTGAGAGATATAGATAATATGTCTTAGGTGGCTGGTGCATTTTACATAGCCAATAGGTTTTAGATTTGTTTTTACTCACCGCTGGAATGGCTGATTACATATACTAAGTCCATGGGCTTGATTAGGTCTATAAATTTAACCAATTTACCAACTTGAGTATATTAACCTTTAAAAATGTGGTATTTGGTCTAGTGTAAGGTAATTATAGGAGAATGCTATAATCCCTGCTCAATTAATTTGCTTTCCAAAGTAGCGTCTTCTTTTGTTAGGAGGACAAAGTGACCTTCCCATGGTCCCCTTTTATTTTGTCAACTTCAATAACATCTACATCGTATCAAACAGTCTAATAAGAGCTGCATTATTAAAATCAAGCGCTGGTTGCTTCAATGAAATAAGTGTTCTTTTAAATGAGAGAATATTTATTACAGAAATGTGAGAATAGGTATTATGGTAAAGGACCGCTAGGTGGCAGGATCAGTATAACCTGATTATAGAAATAGCAAAATGGGCAATGACACAAGAATGGAAGTAGGAAAAAAGGGGAAAAAATTAATTAAAAAATAACAAAGTTTCATATGATCTCAGTGAATTTTAAAGTATTACTAGGGGAAAAACATTATTAAGTTGCAAAGATGAGTTTTCAAATACAGTTCTTAACTGTCTCATGGTTAAAATATTAAGTTTGAGGTAGAGCATGTCTGGATATCCTTAATAAGAAAATGGGGAGAAGGGGAAAAAACTGAGACAATTGTAATAGAATAAACATGATTTATAAATTTAAAATAAAAAAAGAAAATGGGGAGAAAGAGGGTAGTGTGATAAAATACATTTACATCCATAGTGCATTGTCCCAAAAACACTATGTCTAAATGATTTCTTCTCTAAACTACGTGCCACAGTTAGCTCGTGATTTTTTCCTCAATATGAAAATATTGGTTAGAAAATTGTTCTTTATTGACATACTTTGTACTGCATAACAGTGTTGGAAGACCGAGCTGGTTACTGAAACTTCATATTTTCCTGGTGTACATTCTCAGACCACACATGGAACCCAGTTCCATGATCATAGCCATGATCATTTTTCATTTCATGATCATGATCAATATTCATTTTTAAGAACATAGTCATATGTTTGAGATCTAAGTATTGCCCACTAGAGACTAACATACATGGTTTCATTTGTTTCCGAATGAGACAGGTAGACATTTGGTTATTTCTGGCACAAGTGTTTTACCTGTAAACATGTTGCACCAGGGAACAGTCTTCAGGTGGCATCTTCCTCATGCACAGAACAAAACATTCTCATGGGCTTTCTTCTTCTCTTCTGTGGCCCCTTCATTTTCAGGAAAGTCTTTGACTCTTCACTGCACAGCACGATTTGGCTTCGAAAAGAACTTTAATCCTGTGATAAGATGGTACAGCAAAGATTCTGACCAGGAGTTGGAAATCCCAACAACTGAGGTGAGAAGGTAAGAAGGAAATTAGAGGACAATATTCTTTCCAACCCATAATAAATGCTTTCACCTTTGTAAACCTCTAAAATGTGCACACAGAGGTGAGCATACACACACATACATTCACACACAGTTGATGCTGTAGCCATGAGCACCAACTAGTGGTGAAAATGAAAGTACAAAAGTGTGTGTTAATTTTAAATGTGGAGGCCAAATTCAGTTTCTGACAGGGCCATAAAATGAAATATTTAAGTTGCTTTAAAGCTCAATTTGTAGCAACAGTTTGATATGGCTGCTTTAAACATCAAGCTAACAAGAAGACAGGCACACTGACCCAGGCTGCTTGAATAGAAGCAGCATGTCCAGCAAAAACAGAAAAATGCTGCCCACCATCCCTACTCCAACCTCCCATTTTCCCCAATGCCATTCATTTAGAGAGTCCAAATCTGCAGAGCCATTAACAATCTTGAAAGTGTGAAATGAGGAAATGGTACTAGAATAAGGAGTCTGACCAAAAATTATGTGAAATGAGGAAGAGTTTAAGCAATGCAGCCCGGGAAAGGAGACTCAGTAGTGGTATCTGTCTTGAAGTGTTTGGAAGTTGTTATGTTTTATGAGAAACTAAACTGTTTGTGGATCTCAAGAGCACAGGACCCAGATTAGTGGCCAGAATTTACTGGGAAGACTATATAGCTCAATATAATGGAAAATTCTAGCCATTTGGATCTATCCAACTCCTCAAAAAGCTGGACTCTGGTCGTTGGAGGGTTAAGGGCTTGGATTCAATCTGTTAGGCATATTGCTAAAAAATACAGTTCCTCATCTTCTAAGATCTGTTCCAATGTAATAGTCTATGTATTAAGCACAATTCTGATTTTAAAAATATTTTAATAAACAAATATATCATATTTGATAGAATACAACACTATGAAAAATAAAGGACAGGCTTTGGGAACAGTAATAAAATTTAGCAAGAACTTCTAAAATAAGGAAAGTCATTGGGTTTTCTATTGCATCTTTGATATTGCATCAAAGTTCAAAGTAGTTGAGTATCACAAAGAGAGTATGTTCTGACTTCCCACGGCCTTTGGTATGAATCTCTGTTTTCCATCTGTTGGAAATGTGACCCTGTGAGCCTCCATCATGCCATCTACAATCCACCTTGCAAGGTCCCTGTAAGGAGTATATGCAGTAGAGGTGATATGCTTATCACAGCTTCTGGCAGGTAAACAGCATTTTGTGAAAAAAAAGTTGGTATTATAGGCTCCAAGCTCTATAGCCTAATGCATTATTCACATAAACAGTATTCCTTAACATGGGAACAGACTAGAGACTGGCAACTTTAGAGAATCCAAATTATGAATAAATGCCAAGACTCCCACTTCCTGCACGGGGTAGAATGGCAGTCCCAAGAATCAGGTTGCCACATCCCAGTAGTGTGAAATAAGACTCACTTTCTGTGCCTGGTCTTCATTGCTAGCCAAGTTAGGATAATCATATCATTCCCTTGTGGGGTTTCTTTGAGGTGTGGAATGGAAAAGAACAAATACCCCTCATTTTGTGCTCAGAAGATGGCCTGATACATAGTAAGATCTCTGTAGCAGTTAATAACTTTTAATATTTTTCTCAAGTTATTGCTAGAATCTATTTTCAGGGGGAATTCTTAAAGTAAGAAAGGTCAGCTGGGACCCATAAATAAATTATATCTTAGTGTTAGTGCTTATAACAATGTTTAGCAGATTCAACAATTAAAAAAAACAAAAACAGGCTCTTCCAACTGTGTCATGTTCTTTTGGAGTTTCCTATTGCATGATCCCATGGCTCTTCAGGAAGCTAGACTGTTGGCTATTTACATGAGTTCCAAACACTGTAAATGGGTGTAACTTTATCCACTGAATTGGTGTGATATTTTTTTCTCCTTTCCCAGTGTTAAAGCCACTTTTGAGGATGAAATCATCAAGTGTGTTGTCCACTTGAAAGAGGTTACTCAGAGTGATCTTCACAAGACATTTATTTGCTTTGCCCAGAATTCCATTGGGAACACTACTCAGTCCATTCAATTGAGGGAAAAGAAAAGAGGTAAACCTGGAACATTACTGCAGAATGCACACAACTGTTTTAATCTGAGGGGAGAGGAATTTTTCTTAAATAAAAGTGATGATGTAACCAAATAAAAACGAGAGTTTGGCTACCCACTACCCAAAAGGCAAACTCTAGAGGCAGAGACTGGTGAGGAAAGAAAGAGGTTTTTATTCAAATGCTGAACAATCTGGGAACTCCCCATCACAAAACTCGTCTCTTCCACAAAACCCAGACAAAACCTAGCTGCCCTCAGCAAAACCAAAACAAAAGGCAGTTCCTGCTCCATTTTAAATTACCATCTTTTGGAGTCCAAGGCAGCTGCTAAATTGTCACCCACTTAGCTTAGCTTGTTCCCAGCTGCTGTCCAGCTTCAGGCTCTCTCCTGGTGGCTGTGTGTGGAGCAGATATGGCCATGGCCATGTGGCTGCTAGGGCTTCAAATTCTCATGCTCCCAGGCCAGAGGTGCATGGATGCACCAGAGAATGCTACACCAGGTCCAGAAGAAAGAGAGCGAGACACTCTCCCGAAAGCCATGGGCCATGTGATTGCTAAAACCTCATGACCCATGAAGAGGACAGGCCAGTGCACCATCCAAGTGAAGGTCCTGGGTAGCAAGTGATGAGCAAGAGAGTGTTTCTCTGTTCCCCTGGGTTTATATTAGCTTCAGGTGTGGGATGGGCCAGGTGCTTCTCAGAATGGACAATTAACTTCTCAATTTTTTGCGTATTTTTGGTGTATCCACCCGCCAACCAATCCTTTCCTTCCCCAGGCTACAATGGCAATCCTCTTTAGTCCAGTTCCGACCCCTGCCACCATTTCAACTTCTATTGTGCATGTGCCTGCCTCCCCGTAGTGCCACCCCCAATGTGGTACTGAAAGTGGGTAGGAGGTTTCTTTCCTCAGTTCAATTATCTTGTTAACCTTGTGCACTCTCAATGTAAGAACCTCTCTCTGCTACCATCATGGCTGTGGAGGACACTCTTGTAGCATTTCATCAGCTTCGCACCTCCCATTCCTTACTCTCTGTATGAAGCATGTTGCCCACACTGGGGCCCGCTGATAGTGACTGAACCAAAAGCCTGAATAAAAGAAAACCCTGGAAACCCCTCATGACCTCTCAGGTAGTGCCTAGGGCAACCTCAGCGGGTGGGGCAGGGCATCTACAACCAGGAGCAGGACCTCTGTATGGAGGGCATGGGAACCTGAATGTTCACAAGGCACGTGCTTGGTTACATGGGCAATGCAGCCTCATGCCTGTGGGACCTGGCACTGTCCTGTGAAACTCAGTATCCTCCCCATGACCCCAGGCGGTTCATGAAGGCATTCATCGAACCTCTGACTTCTGTTCCCAGTCCCCAATGAGCATGGCTTGGTACACAGGCAGCTCCCAATTCCCATTCCCACAGCGTAGCTCTATCTCCCCCTGCAGTCCCTCCTGTTTCCTGCCCTCAGCCCACTCCCAGAGGTCCAGATGGGCTGTCTATTTCTATCAATGGTGATAGCAATTAATATTTATTATGTAAGACAATGTTCTATGCATTTCTCTATATTAACTCATTTAATACCTTGACCAAGGCCATACACAACTATTAAGTTTCATATCAGTGATCCAGAGATGGTCTTCTTAACCAAAATTTTGTGTATTGGGGTTGTGTCAGAATAGCTCATCATTCAGGCATTCACTCATTCATTCTGCATATACCTATGCATGCTCTATGCGATGGGTGTTGTGCAAGGACATAAGTCCCTTCCCAATTTTTCTTTCCTGGCTTCCAAATCCATAAAACATGTTGGTTAGGTATTTGAGAGTGGAGGTGTGACAATGTAGTTTGTCTCAGTGTCCAGAAGTATATACGTATATCACTGATCATAACATTTTAAGGCTGGCGTGAATGTTCCTGGTGAGGAATAGTTTCTCATTTTTTTTAAGAAGATGCTCAAGGATGAAGTTGACATCATTCATTCATTCACTTGATAAATTATTTTTAGAATGGGTGATTGTGAAAACCCATGAGACAAATAAGACAAAATTTGTGCCTGGTCCCCAGTGGATTCTCTGTGAATTTGTGTTTCATGAGTTAGGTGCCATGGAGGGTGCAAAAGTGAGCCAGGCATAGCTCCTGGCCTCTGGAAGTTTAGACTTTAGTAGGGACAATGATGCATGAAAATAATTTACAATATACAATGAGAGGGTTACAAATGTGTTGTGTAGAAGTTTATGGGGAAAATGAGTAAAAAATCGTTGTGATCAGTTTCCCAGAGGCTGATCAGGAACTGCCCATTCCTCCAGGCTCTCTCCAGTTCATCGTAAGATAGTTTCCTCAGGGTGTGATTTAAGGCATTTTTGCATCCAATAAAAACGCTTTCAATAGCAGTGATATTAGTAAAATATTGGGGCAAGAAAAGGCTTTGTGTGGGTCCACAGCATTGGGCTGAATAAGGTCTTGCCACAGGAATATAGCTCTGCATTTGCTAACGATTGCCATGTTTTCCCCAGTGGTGTTCCTGTACATCCTTCTTGGCACTGTCATGACCCTAGCAAGTGTGTTGACAGCAGCTGCTCTCCTCTTCATGTACTGGATTGAAATAGTGCTGCTGTACCGAACCTACCAGAGCAAGGATGAGACGCTCGGAGGTAAGGCGACTCCAACTTGGGTCTGACTTTTCCTCTCAGGACTGACTTAGACAAAAGAGCTCCAAAAATGGATAATTCCTGATGGATATGGTCATGCTCTTCAAGCTTTGTGATTTCCTCCAGGTCTGATGGTGCATACCTGGGAAGTCTGGGATCAGGCAAAGTCTTTTTTAATTCCAGTTACCAGGAATCTTGCCAATGATGCTATTGCCAGACATGTTGGACTTGAAAATATTCTCACTATTAACCAACTTAAAGCAATATGGTAAATGACTTAACACCTCTGTGCCTTGGTTTCCTCTTTGATAAAATGGAATTGTAACCACAATTTCAATCACAATGAATGCTATGAGGGCTCATTGGATTAAGACATCTTAAGCTTTTAGAACAGCATCTAGCACATAGTGAACACTCAGTACCATTATTATCTCATGAGTACTAAGTGTCTGCCAATCAAGTGTATTGGCTACCTGAATTGTCACAGCAATCCTACAAGCCAGAAAGAGAGACCTGAAGTCATGTGCCCCAAATTGAACTGCTAGGCAATCTTAGAGCTTGGGACTTGGACCCAAGCAGTTTGACTTAGAGCCCCCATTAATAATTAACTTTTTCAGCCTTATCTGTAAAACGGGGGACTTGAAGTTGGTGGAAATATCACAAAAAATGTGAAGTTCTGTAAGATGCAATATCATACTATTAATGAATTTTCTCAATTTTCCCATGAGACAGGATAATGACATTTATTAATGTTTGCTTCTTCAAAACAGAAGAGCTGCTTCTGTGTTTTTCTAGTTCTGGAGTCCCCTAAAGTTAGGATGTTTGAAGTTTTAGCAAGTAATTTTGTGGTTTGGAAAGAGCGTAAGCTCCTCTGCTGGACTCTGGAGCTAATTTCTTATCTGACAGACCCCTCCATACAATGCTTCTCTCATACCAGAAACTCAGTGAGAGCTATCCTACCTCTGGGGAAATGGGAGTCAAGAAATACACGAATCATATCTTCCTTTAGACTGAGGGTGCCCAACTTTTGGCATTTCTGGGCTACACTGGAAGAAGAGTTGTCTTGAGCCACACATTAAATACACAAACACTAATGAAAACAAAAAAAATCTCATAATGTTTTAGGTAAATTTATGATTTTGTGTTGGGCCACATTTATAGCCATCCAGAGCTGCACACAGCCTGTGGGCCGCAGGTTGGACATCCTTGCTTTAGATCAATTATTAAGAATACATGCTAGAAATCCTTAAGCCAAGAGTGTTCATGAGATTTATTTTTTTTCCAAGTTAGCTTTTCTGAATTAATCCAATTATCTAATCAATGTCTTAATCATTTCCCTGGACATCTTCATACTTCTTTTACTAAAATGTTATTGATCTTAAGATTCCAGAGTGGCACAGAAGAGTCAATTGACTGTGAAACACTTAAATATGCCCTTTCTCTTTTTACTTTGCACTAGAAATCTAAGGGGGCAGAACCCAGGTTTCAAGCACAATGATTTGGTGCCCACTCTGACCAATCTAATGTTATTCAGCAAAATGAATGTTTCCTTTGATGCTGATGATGAATATACAAAAGTGTAGAGAGATATAGACTGTCACAATTTTGGAGGACATAGCAGGTTGTCTAGTACTTCCACTCTAATTTTATTACCAAATCAATATAATGTTTTCAGATTATAGAAAAATCCTAGTTTGCTGGATTTTCCCACAGATATGAAAGGAATTGAGGCAACTATGGTGTGTTACATATTTAAACTGCACAGCCTTTATCTGCTGGCCACATCCATGAATGTCCTTTCCACCTCGGTAACCAGTAGTTTCCTCGAATAGCCTCTTGAGCCTCAGGTCTTTGGCACCTTCATTTCTTATCTCCAGACTTCCCCCACTCTTCCTTTTCTATTTCTGGCCTCTTCTACTGGGCCTTATTTTAGGTCCACATTGAAAAAGTGTACTTCTAAACTGCAGCCAGCACTATTACTATTTTGTAACTATTATTTTCCAGGCAGTGTACGAAGTGCTGGAATATAAACCAGGTGTGCTCAATCCCAAAGCCCATGGATTAACTTTGGGGGGTTTTTACTACTTTCAATTAGTTCTTTAGCATGTCCCCCTAATCAATGTTTATTTCTAATCATTTAGTCAATAGAGGCATATGAGACCAAAAATATCCTGAAATAAGTTCTGTAAATATAGAGTCTCATTTAGAAGGTGGGGGGCTAATGGATGTTTATCTTGAGCCTGCTATGAACCAGACACCAAGCTTGTCTCATGCAACCCTGAAAGCATCCCACTAGGAAGTTATCATTGCCTCATTCTACACATAGCATTCACGCAGTGGTATATGTGCCATCAGCTCTCTAACGTGCAGGGTGCTGTGTGTCAGTAGTGCTTTGCTCACTGGATATCATGCTTTGATGGAGTAGACTTTTCTTTGATGTGCAACTAATGAGACACTGAAGATACAAGGAAAACTCCGAGGAACTTCTGAGTGCTTGGATTTATCACAGAAGGCCCCAGCTGTTGTATCTGATATCAGTGGAACTGTGGGAGTTCTTCAGTAAGCAGAATTTGATTGTAGTTTCCAGATAGACAATAAATACCACTCAGCAGTGTAATTTTGAAATGGACTCAGCTGCTGTTCTTAATTTTTTAAAATCAATTCAGTAATGATCCCAACCTTTTTTTTTATTGTTCAAATACATTTGTCTCCATTTTTCTGCCACCACTTTCCCCTGCCCCACCCACTCCTAACTCCCACCCTCAATCCTTTCCCCACTTTGGCTTTGTCCGTGGGTCCTTTATACATGTTCCTTGATTTGACTCTTCCGCTTCATTTCCCCGTTACCCCTCCCTCTTTCCCTCTTGTTACTGACAGTTTCGTTTTTCTTTCAGTTTTTTTGGTTTATTTTTCCTGCTTGTTCATTTTGTTCATTAGGTTCCATTTATAGGTGAGATCATGTGGTATTTGTCTCTTGCCCTCTTGCTTATTTCACTTAGCATAATGCTCTCCAGTTCCATCCATGCTGTTACTAAGGGTAGTAGCTCTTTCTTTATTTCTGCTGTGTAGTATTCCTTTGTGTAAATGTACCATAGTTTTTTGATCCAATCATCTACTGATGGGCATTTAGGTTGTTTCCAACATTTGGCTATTGTCAATTGTGCTGCTATGAACATTGGGGTGCATAGGTTCTTTTGAATTGGTGTATTATGATTCTTATGGCATAATCTCAGCAGTGGAATTGCTGCATCAAAAGGAAGTTCCATTTTAAACTTTTTGAGGAACTCCCAAACTGTTTTCCACAGTGGCTGCACCAGTCTGCATTCCCACCAACAGTGTACTAGGGTTCCCTTTTCTCCACAACCTTGCTAGAACTTGTTGTTTGTTGATTTGTTTATGATGGCAATTCTGACAAGTGTGAAGTGGTATTTCATTGTGGTTTGAATTTGTATTTCTCTGATGGCTAATGATGCTGAGCATCCATTCATATGTCTCTGGGCCCTGCGTATGTTGCCCTTGGAGAAGTGTCTGTTCAGATCCTTTGCCCATTTTTTAATTGGATTGTTTGTCTTCCTGGAGTTGAGTTGTGTGAGTTCTTTATATATTTTGGAGATCAACCTCTTTCCAAGTTTTCATTAGCAAATATATTTTCCCATATGTATACTTCCCTTTTCATTTTGCTGATGTTTTCTTTAGCCATGTAGAAACTTCCTATTTGCTGAACATGACACCAGCACAGAAATAATCAAGTAAATTAATGAAATATAATTAACATTATACAAACAAACATATATACCTGTCTAACAATGTAATATATGATAAAATCGATATTTCAAGTCAATGGGAAAAATAAGGCTTAATCAACAAATAAAGTTCATGGAACAATATTACTTGAAAAAAAAACAAATATAGAGCCTTATTTCACACATTATACAAAAACTACTCAGGTGAATTAAAAATCAATATGTAAAATCTAAGGAGTTTCTGGAGAAAATACAAAATAACATTTTTCTTATCCTGAAGAAAAATATGTAAACCCAGAAGCAATAAAGTAAAATATTGACAATAAGATTATATTAAACATTTAAGACTATACAGTAATATGCATATAAAGAAGTTAAAGTACAAGAAAGAGAATAGGAAAGTATTTGCAACACATCTAAAAAGGGTTAATATTTGTTAATTTTTTTTTTAGGGAAAAAATTCTACAAACATTTAATCAAAAAATGGATAAAGGATACCAAAAGTCATTTAAAGCTTTTTTAAAAATCATAGAAATAGGCAAGAAATATACAAACAACAGATTTAGTTTCAAAAAACAATAAAGTAACAATTAAAATAACACATCATTGTCACCATCAGATTAATAAGTATTAAAAATATTGGTAATATTAAGTATTGGTGACTGTGAAAGGAACTGGATATTCATAAACTCTTTTTCTCTGTCTTTGTAAAGCAGTCCCTTTAGCACATTATGCCATGTTGGTTTGGCAGAGGTGTATCCTTTTAGCCTTCTTTTGTCTGGGAAACTCCTTATTTTGCCTTTTATTTTAATCGAGAGCCTTGCTGGGTAGAGCAGTCTTGGTTGCAGGCCTTTGCTTTTCATTGCTTGGAATATTTCTTGCCATTCCCTTCTGGCTCGTAGTGTTTCTGTGGAGTCAGCTGCTAGCCATATCAGGGCTCCCTTGTATGTTACTACCTGTTACTCCTTTTCTGCCTTTAGGATTGTCTCTTTGTCTTTGATATTTGCCATTTGAATGATGATGTGTCTTGGAGTGGGCCTCATTGGGTTCCTCTTGAATGGGACCCTCTGTGCTTCCTGGACTTGCGTGACTTTTTCTCGCCTCCAATTAGGGAAGTTTTCCATCGTTACATTTTCAAAGAGGTTCTCTATCCTTTGTTCCTATTTTTCTTCTCCTGGTATCCCTATTATACAGATATTACTACATTTCAGGTTGTCCTGCATTTCTCTAATTGCCTCTTCATTCTTTTTGAGTCTCTTTTCTTTTTCTTGCTCTTTCTGGGAGCTTTTTTCTACCTTGTCCTCCTGCTCGTTGATTCGATCCTCTGCTTCACCTAACCTGCTTTGATTCCTTCTACTGTATTCTTCAGTTCAGAAATTGTATTCTTCATTTCCTCTTGTCTCTTATTAATAGTGTCTATGTCCTTTTTCATGCTGATATAGTGTGCAGTAAGTTCCTCGTAGTCTCCCTGAAGTTTTTGGCAATTCTCTCTGAGCTCACTGAGCTCATTGAGCTTTCTTAGAAACATTGTTTTGAACTCAATATCTCATAGTTTACTTGCCTCTATTTCATTTAGTTCTCTTTCTGGGGATTCCTCCTTTCCCTTTAGTTGGGGGGTGTTTCTTTGTCTTCTCATTATTTGTGAGACTCTTCTTTTTTGCTTCCGCGTCTTATATTGATCTGCCTTGATTTCCTGACTTTGTGGTGTGAACTTCTATTGTAGAAGACCGCTGTTTTTCCTTTCTGGATCTGCCTCTGATGATGTCTGATATTGATCCCATCTGACCTCAGGCAGTCTGTTCGAGACTTCCAGGAATCTACTGTCTGTGGCTCTCTCCTTCAGTGGTTTATCAAGTCACTCTGTCCCTAGCAGTCAGGCGTAGGCACCACAGGGCAAGGCAGAGCCCCTCCTGGGGGCAGGGTTATTGGGTCCTCTCACACTGCTGCCACTCAGGGGTGTGTTCTGCCTGAACCACATGGCTGCCTCTGTATGGGGGAGGAGTCAGCGCCCGGATCCCTCCAGCTGCTTTCTCCATTCTCTCCCCAAAGCCTCCATCTCCAGACTCTCCTCACGTGTCTCTAGACCACTCTGCACCCCCTTTAGCCAGGGAGCGACTATCTGTGGCTGCCTATCTGTGCTGAGCAGTCAGACTTAGGCACCACCGGGGCAGGGCTGAGTCCCTCCTGGGGGCAAGGTTATTGTGTCCTCTCATGCTGCTATGGCCTCAACTCTTATTTCTTACCCATTTATCATATGTTTTGAGCACATGTAGATATACTATGATAGTAAAAACTTTGTAAATGGCTTATATTTTTTATCATTCCTCTTTTTCAGATAAAAAGCATTTTGATGCTTTCATATCTTATGCAAAATGGAGCTCTTTTGAGAATGAAGTAAGTTCATCTGTGAGTGAAGAAAACTTGGCCCTGAATCTATTCCCTGAAGTTTTGGAAAACAAATATGGATACACCTTGTGTTTACTTGAAAGAGATGTGGCTCCAGGAGGAGGTAGGTCCTGTATGCCAAGGGAAAATACAGAATAAAAGAGTCAGTTAAATACAAGTACTGTCTAAGTTTTCTTGTCACTCTTTTTGTTGAGACATACATTTTCTGGAAGGTTTAATGGGCTTAGAACTTTTGGAGGAACAATACAGAAAAATATGTTTTGCAGAGACATGTTCTATCACCTAAAAAAAAATCTATCTTTAGGAGAAAAAATAATATTGGGCCATAGAGAAGGCTTGTAGAACAAAGATGTCTTTCCTGGTTCTTCATGTGGAAGTCACTCATCCTTTCAAACAAGTGATCCCTCTGCATTCTGGGATTCTGATGGCCACAAACCTCACCTCTGGATTAAGCAGGCTCTGTGAGCAGCACCCAGACCTGGGCTTGCATCAGATGTGTAGACCTCATCCCCTCCTGCTGGCCTGTCATGGTTCTGCTACCTCACCTAGGGGACTGAACATTCCCCTGGCCTCTTTTTTCCCAGTCTAAACACAAGGGGAGAACTGTAAAATTGAGAGTCACTAGACATTAAAGTATATTTTCAACTGTCTGTGAAGTTGATATAGTGAATGTGCTATAGTCAACCATATGGAAGGAGGAGTTTCTTTTGTCTTTCCATAAGAGTGCCTGTGCCAAGGAACCCTCTGTGCAGATCTGGGACAGTCAGGCTTGTCACTCAAGGTTTAAAAACAAGAGTTGCAATTAATTTAATTCTTTATTTCTAGTGTATGCAGAAGACATCGTGAACATTATTAAGAAAAGTAGAAGAGGAATATTTATCTTAAGCCCCAGCTATGTTAATGGACCAAGTGTCTTTGAACTACAAGCAGCAGTGAATCTTGCCTTGGATGATCAAACACTGAAACTCATCTTAATTAAATTCTGTTCCTTCCAAGAGCCAGAGTCTCTACCTCATCTTGTGAGAAAAGCTCTCCGGGTTTTGCCCACAGTCAATTGGAAAGGCTTAAAATCAGTGCCTCCCAATTCCAGGTTCTGGACTCAAATGCGCTACCACATGCCTGTGAAAAACTCTAAAGGATTCACATGGAACTATCTCAGAATTATCTCAAGAATTTTTTCACTGGAAAGACTTAGTAAAACAGAAACCACTGGGAGGAGCTCTCAGCTCAGGGAATGGGGAGCTGGGCCACCTGAACCACCTCCTTCCAGTCATGATGAGCAGAGATGTTGATGGGCAGAACATATAGCATGGATATGGCTGATCAAAATGGAAGGTGTTCTGCCAGCCCTGAGCAAGTGTAATAGGCACTGGGATGACACTGAAGCTGTGGTTAAGGCTTCTGATTTCCTAGACTGGACAGATACTTGCACACATTCAGGATATACCTCCTTAAGACTTTCTTAGTGGTCAACAGAATCAGCAGATGCATCCACTATTTTACTTTGTGGCTACAGACTATCATGTCTACTATGTATTGTACATGTAAATGTATGTATACTTGCAATAAAATAAATATTATTTTATTAAAAACAATTGATGTAAACCTTGCCAAAAGCTTCCCTGTAAAGAAGACAATTCTTACTCTATGTTCACCTATTAACTCTGAAGCACAGAAAACAAGTAGGAAAGGCAGAGACCAGGGAACAAGGAGCACAGAAAGCCACAATTAGTCTTTACTGTGTTCTTCTGGGAAGTAACACCTCTGGGCAGATGAATTGGAGGAAGGAGAGCTTTCCATTGGGCTGATGCAGTTCTGTGCCAGTGTATGAGACTTAGGGAGTGGAATAGGGATATTTTCAGCTTCTCCTTGCCCCTTGGGCTTTGTGCAGGATCTGAAGTATAAAGTTTTGCTCTGGGCCAACAGAACTAGGGACCATCTAGGCCAAAATGAAGTCCAGTGAATGGACTAACAACTGTGTACAAAGAGGAAAGACAGTGGCAAGAATTAACTGCCGATATAAGAGTGTGAGAAACAAGTTTGCACACTGGTTAAAAGAGAGCTATAGTGGATCTTGAATAGAGCTTCTGTCTGAGTCATTTGTCCATTGAGGTTTACACTTCTTATGTGCTTCCTGACCTATGATCTCAGCTGAAGTCCTCTTAGGTAATGGGTGATTTGCTGAAGACCAAGTAGTTGTTCCTGACAGACAAGACTTTCATTCTCATATGTTTGCTTTCCTTCTGGAGAGTTCAAATAGTGTTCTAGTCATATGTGAATGTAAAACTTTTATGCTCTCTAATGTCTGGTTGGCTGAGATGATTCATTTGAGTGATAAAGAAAAGCAGCTTCTGGACTCATTCACATTTAATGTGTCACATCCACTGTATAAATGTGACCCAGGTTTGGATTGGCTAAAATTCACTGTCATCTGGCCACTGATTGGAGCCTGTGTGAAATGCTCTAAAGTTCTTTTTTCATAGAGGAGCCCACATCATAAAAACCATTGTGGCTTTGGCACTAAGTAACATCCTTGTTGGGAATCCCAGTGATAAAGTTAAAGATGAGTTAAAGGGTATATATTATTCCTGCAGGAAGTTTCTTGTGGGAAGGCTCATTGTAAGGTCTCGGTGGAGAAGAACCCACACTTTCATTGTGACTTTGTGTTATACGGAAGGCCAGAATACCTATTTTTCCTACTAAAAACTCTCTGAGTTCTAAGACTCAGATACCTCTAATGGTCAGTCTATCTAGGTTTATTTTATCCTAAAATAAATATCAGTCTAGAGTTCTGTTCTGAGCTTAACAGAAACTCAAATTGAGCCTCTGGAACAATCTTTGTCTAACAATTGCAGAATATACTCTTTCCAAGTTAGTAGGTACACTGAAGATGACAAAATCAGGACAATGGTTTATTTATATTTTTTACATGTAAATCAATAAATACAGAGTGGACAACCAAAACAAATGTTCTATATATAGGAGGATGATGGTAATTAAACAATTAAATTCAGTGAATACAATGAGAAGGGGGTATTATTTTTCCACAAGTCCTTCTAAATAAGGTGGTGCTATGTTCTGGTTCCTGGTTACTTGTTTTTCAAGTATAATTTTCAGAGACCAAGTGAATTACTCACTCTGACAATGTGTTCTAGTTTGGATGATGGTCACCCTACCTGTAACATACACTGCAGAGTACTCCTTACTGGCCTTGGATGGTATCTCACAGAAAGAAGATCTCACAGTTTTCCTGGTCTCTCATGGGCTTTAATATCTATACTTACTGTTTGCATTATTTTCAGGTCATAGTTATAGGTAAGGTGGAACAAGCATACACTATCTTCTCTACTCATTATAGTTATAAATCCTGGAAAAGTGAATAGAAAATCAGTTTGAGCATTCTAAAAAGTAAAGAGAAGCAGGAAGATTGAAGAAGCCAAAAATTCAAAGTCACAATATCCCATATCCAATTTTCTCCAATATCCCTTGGCTTAGACTCAATGCAGTCTGGAACCCCGAAGTCCAAGTTAGTAGGTACACTGAGGATGACAAATTCAGGACAAAGTTTTATTTACATTTTTTACATGTAAATCAATAAATACAAAGAGGGCAACCAAAACAAGTTTTCTACATAAAGGAGGATGATGGTAATTAAACAACTATCATTAATGATAATAGAAAGAGTTCCAGAAGTCCTCTAATTCTGCCTTGAAGACTGGCAAAAAAAGTTTCCTAACATTCCCACATTTTTTCCTCTCTATGTTATTTTGCTTCCCAGCCCCTGTGCAATTATGTGATGGTGGCTGTTGTACCAGCAAAAACTCAAGAGCATACATCTGTGAGGAAGGCAAATTGTCCATTGTGATGAAGGGAACTGTAGTCCCAAATGAGTGTGACAAACCTCTATTGATTTTTTTCTCTCTGTCCTGTTATCATTTGGCTGTGGAGATGGAAGCAGTTGTGGAAAGTGTACTTTATAGTGGGTATATAAAGCACCATCCAATTGGCCAGTAAGGGAAGTATAAGAAGCTTATGAAACTAGAAAGTACCATGGAGATTGAAGATGAAGGGGAACTCATGAAAGCAAACCAATAATGTTGTTTCCAGACTCCCAAGCTCATCACTCCACTGCATATACACGAATCTAACATTAAATAGAACACCATAAGCTTTGAGGTTTGAACGATAAGACAGATCACTTATTATATTCCATATTTGCCAATGCACAGTACATATATGGAATCAGTCTAAGTAGAATTGAAAGACAGTGAAACAAGACTGACTTTGAAATCACAAGCTTGGTTAGGACTTGGGGCTTAAATCAACTGGATAAACTGGCTGCTAAAATTTAAAAAATAGCATTTTTTGTAGTATTCCAACAAGATCTAGAGTTGCATAACAATATTTAAAATATTCAGGATACAATACATTGAAAGCAAAAAAAATTATAACATTTTTCTGAAAAGATTTTCAATGTAGAGAGATGTAATATTAGTCAAATACAATATAAAGGAAGGAGTGATTTTATATATATATATATATATATATATATATATATATATATATAGCTACTTGAAGTGGCAAAATATTGATTCTTAGTGGAAAAAGAAAACATAATTTTATTTTAATCCCTTCTGCAGCCATTAAAACAAAATATATTGATAAAACATGATAAATTAAAATGGAATAACAAAATGTTCAAATATCCCAAAAGTTGGAAAGAACAGGAAAATAAGGGAAAAAACTGTGGAAATAAACAGAAATCAAATAATATAATGGTAGATTTAAACTCAAACATACCTATAATTGCATTAAATATAAAATGTATATGTATAGTAGTCAAAAGACCAAGATTACTAGAATCGATTTTTAAAAAATAACCCACCTATATTCCCTCAGCAATAAACATACTTCAAATAAAATGATATATGTAGGTTACAAGTAAATGGTTAGTTTCACTAGAATACATTATGTGAACATTAACTTAAAGGAAAGTTAGAGCACCTATATTAATATCAGCTTAACTAGAATTTACAGCAAAGAAAATTACTAGGGAAAAAGATATCACATGAAACAAAAGAATACATTTGCCAAGAAGACATAACAATCATAAATGTGTATGCACCAGAAAACAGAGATTCAAAACACATAAAGAAAAACTGAAGACTGGCAAGATGGTAAAGGAATGAATGGAAGTCACACTGACCTCCTCCCAGGACCAATCTGGAATTACAATTAAACTGTGGAGAAATCAACTGGAACAAACAACTGAACAATAGCGAGAGACAGGCCTTATAACCTCGGACATAGAGAAGAATCAGCCTTAGCACAATTGACTGGTAAGGAGTGTGGTAGAGACTCAGAAAGGGGGGCTGAATGCTCACAGATGACAACTCCATAAGAATACTTACACAGCCAGTTACTTTCCCCTGAGAAGAGTGATGTTGGGATCTAAACCATAAGTGGGTATCTCCAGCCTATGCACCAGAGCCAAAAAAGTATAGAGATAACAGCCAGCTGAGAAAGGGACAGGATTGCTCTCTGCCACAGATGGGTGGCTGGAGACACAAAGAGCTGTAAAAAAGGGGATAAACATACATTTTAATTTACAACCACTTACCTGGGCTCTGGGAAAGATGGGGGCTGGGTGGGCTAGATACCTGAGAAGAGACTAGGGAAGAAGGCTTTGGGGAGAGACCTGAGGGAATAGCCAGCCTGAACATAGTACTGAATTATTCCTCATATGGCAGCAGCCATCTTCCTCAGGCCAACCACTCCCCTGAGTGGAAGCAAAGTGAGAGGACACAATAGCCTTGCCCCCAGGAGGGACTCAGCCCTGCCCCGGTGGTGCCTAAGTCTGACTGCTCAGCACAGATAGGCAGCCACAGATAGTCGATCCCTGGCTAAAGGGGGTGCAGAGTGGTCTAGAGACACGTGAGGAGAGTCTGGAGATGGAGGCTTTGGGGAGAGAATGGAGAAAGCAGCTGGAGGGATCCGGGCGCTGACTCCTCCCCCATACAGAGGCAGCCATGTGGTTCAGGCAGAACACACCCCTGAGTGGCAGCAGTGTGAGAGGACCCAATAACCCTGCCCCCAGGAGGGGCTCTGCCTTGCCCTGTGGTGCCTACGCCTGACTGCTAGGGACAGAGTGACTTGATAAACCACTGAAGGAGAGAGCCACAGACAGTAGATTCCTGGAAGTCTCGAACAGACTGCCTGAGGTCAGATGGGATCAATATCAGACATCATCAGAGGCAGATCCAGAAAGGAAAAACAGCGGTCTTCTACAATA